ATGACCTCTGAAACGTTGGTTAACATCGACCAGACTACACAGCGCAACAACCCAGAAGACGGAAATATTCATAGAATAATTTATCACTGAAGGCCTTACGTATTTAGAAAAAAATTCTCATGGTTACTTTGAGAACCTTAATGACATTATACAAAATGTGAAGGTGGTGTTTTTGCGTCTTAACACCACTCCGTTACCGCAACCAAAGGTCCAGAAAGTGACTTCTACGTACAGAAATTACTATGCACATACAATAATGCATAAATAAATTAAGGCAATTGATATAGAATCTAGTCCAGAACTAGAGGACGTTAAGAAGGGAGCGCAACATTTGAAATACTGTTATCAACACTGCTAATTCTTAGAATGATTTAAAGTAGTCCACTGTAAATGGCACCTGGAAGGACTTTGTCCTCAATATGTTAATAATTTTTAGGGATTTTAAATGACACTAAAAATGTCTACCCAACAAGTTTTTGACTTGATTTTGAAATGGACCAGGCTAATGTGGATCAGCTAGGAATCTCTCATCCAGGGAAACTAAGAAAGATGGATTATACTGAACTTCAGAAATCGCTTGAAATTAAAAGAAATGAAACGCCGATGGATTTAAAGGACTTTAAATACGGTTTTAACCAGCTAGACAGCTTGATCAACGTCACTGGAGGAAAGGACACTAATAGCTAGAACAACTCCAGAATCAGCTATATCCAGCTGCACTGCCCCTTATGAAGAAAGACGAAACAAAGAAGAAGGGACACAATTAAACTGAAAGCGGATCAATTTCTTTAGAAAGAAGGAAACTCCAACACAGCCTTCAACTTCGAAGTCTCCTTTGAAATCACCAGAGGTATTTAGCCGATCAGTAGTGCAAAGACCAACAAATAACAAGATATTTCTTTCCTCATAATTGTTAATTCACGTCCGGTAAGCCAAGTTTAAAATGTTGGGTAAATATTAGACAGTAAAATATTTTTTTTTATTTCTATAAATCGTATTACTATTATTAATATTCTAATTATTTAACACAAGAGCGAGGTCATTAATATTTTTCTGGTTGGCCGAGAACGCATTTTCCTATTATAACATCCAACCCGATGGAAAAACAATCCCAAATATTCGACTCTTTGGCCCGAGAACACACTTTCAACAAACGAATCCCTGCTGAATCTAGGCGAGAAATTATGATACGAAAGAAATCATTCCTCGTTGCTATATATAAGCCGTATAAAGGAACCTCAAATCCTACGTATAAAGAAAATTGTAATTATTTCTAAATCACTTAAGTTCCTGCACCAAACTTTTGTGAGATACAACACAAGGTTTTGGTGTAATTCAGAACACGCTTTAGTTAAATAGTAGTTTATTTTACAATGTCGTATTGATCGCACTGTTATTTTACGTGGCCTACCATCTGTAAAATATCCACGTATGAGCAACGTAGTTGGAAGGGCTTCGTGACAGATTGCGTAATGCTAATTTAAATGGATTGTAACGATTTTCGATCTAGAATTCTACCAGAGTACAAAATCAATATTTTACACAGGCTAATACAATTGGCTTCTGATCTGGAAATGTATGTAAATATAGCTCTGAAATGCGGTTCCAATACAGCTACTTGAGTAAACAAAGTAGCTCTTTTCCCCAGACAAACAGGAGGTGGTCTCAGCTGACGAATTCCAATTTCCTGCTGTGAAACATGGAATTTCCAGTATAATGTTGCCAGAGCAATTGAATTTCAAGGAGGAAAATAAAGGTTTCTTGTATGGTGCCTATCAGTGCTTGTTCATGCAAGTTTACGAATCAGAAATATCCACGATACATAGCTGAAATAATATCCGTCAAACTCCATCCAATAAGGAATCATATAAATAATCTTACTAGAAAATTTATACACAGACGAAATAATAATATTTAATTTAACTCTCTCCATAAAGCAGTCTTACTATAGAAGCACAAATTCGAGTAACTAGTCAAGACGTTTCTTGTCTTTTATGGAGTCCGACAATTTATTAGTGTCCATAGGAGCTCGCCACTGGTCTACGTCATGTTAACTTAAGTGCAGTTTCCTTAAGATACATTTTAATATTATCCTGCCATCTAAGTCTAGGTCTACCAAATGATCCTAAAACTTTTCACGCAGTTATATCATTGAATAAAATTTTTCTTGGATATTATCCATCGTCTAGTAAATATAAAACGTAAAACGACGTTTCGGAGATGGGACTCTATCTCCGTCTTCAGGTTCCTAC